GAACCAAGGTTTATAAAATACACCAAATTGTATATTCTTCTTCCCAACTCCTCAAGGCTCTTCAGCAATATGGTTGACCATGCAACACATCATCACATCTGAGGAACAGCTCCTAAGGAAATGATTCTGATTGCAATGATCACGCCTTTTCTCCATAACATGAGGAGCTAGTATCATGACAGGAGAGCCTCTGGCATTCTGAAAGGAAATACAGGAATTTTCGCATCCTTGCTGACAAACCAAATGACACAATTTCGTATAGGAGTGAAAAATAGAAGAAGGGCATTTCAAAATTCCAATTAGATCCCCTATGCTTTGTAATTCCAAGCAAAGGGGACCTGTCCCCTTCAAATCCTTCAGATATATTATTTAGTTTTCAAAGTCCTCCTTTGGAGAATTTTAACCGAAAGGGAAAAATTGTCAGAGAAAAAGAAAATCTGAAAGACAAAGCTTTAAAACACAGCTCAAGATGGTTGCAGGTTGGACAAATGGGTACTGCTACAAGGCCTAAAGCTGAACTAAAGCTGAAGCCTCGCCTGCTGGGGTGGAGTCTGTCAAATATGTCACTGGCATTACTCCTTGCAACCTTGCCTATCAGATGAAGCACAAAGGCAGGATAGAATCCATCTCCCCTCTCCAGACCCTTTGACCCCTACATACGCCGTAACTTTTTACCCTACAGATGTTAACTGTACATTTCTTTATGCATAATGTCAGCAAGCACCAATCAGAATCATAAATGTCACCTTTCCTTCACCGCCCCTGCAGAGACAGGAAGTGACTCCCTCTTGGGTTCAAACATGCCGTGTTGTATTCTGATGAGCCCCAGTCCTGCAAATGCCTTCTGATTCTTAATTTACTATTCCTAGTGTAAGAACATGACGGTCTCCATGTCATCACACAAATCATAAGCCATGGTGCATATAACATTCTTGCCTGTTCTGGAGGCTGCCTTTCATTGTCTTGCTGGACACACATGCCCTTTCCCTATGGTATGTAAGCCCTGGGTCAGAGGAGGAACAGTGCGGAGATCTATCTACTGTCTTGCAGCTAAAATCCCAAGACCACACTTCTGTCTGTAAGTCTTCCCCCACTAAAACACACTAAACCAAAAAACTGAATTTGTTTGCCTCCTTTTCTGGTTTCCAGCAACTTTGGCATCTGGGGGTCATTTTGCATATAAGGCCCTTTCATGGAACAACCCCCTTCTCCCATTTTCTTCTTTTTTATTTTTGTTTGTTTGTTTTGTTTTGAGACAGGGTCTCACTCTGTCACCCAGGCTGGAGTGCAGTGTCTCGATCTCAGCTCACTGCAACCTCCGCCTCCTGGGTTCAAGCCATTCTCATGCCTCAGCCTCCCGAGTAGCCAGGACTACGGGCACATGCCACCATGCCCAACTAATTTATGTATTTTTAGTAGAGACGGGATTTCACCATCTTGGCCAGGCTGGTCTCAAACCCCTGGCCTCAGGTGATCCACCCACCCTGGCCTGCCAAAGTGCTGGGATTATAGGTGTGAGCCACTGCCCCCGGCCCCTTCTCCCATTTTCTATATGACAAAATGTATAAAGACTGTGCCTCATGTAACTCTCTAGGTCCATTCTCTGTTTGTGCTGAGTCTGTGCTCCTATGCTATAGTCCTCCTACTTGGCTCAGAATAAAAGTAACTTTGACTTCTTTAAGTATGATAGTGCCTGTGATTTTGGCAGTTGGGTCAGCATGCCCTCCTGTGCCTGGCTTATTTTACTTAGCATAATGTTCTCCAGGTTCATCCATGTTGCAAATGACGGGATATCCCTCTCTTTTTTAAGGCTAAATTAATATTACATTCGATATAGGTATACCACACTTTGTTTATTCATTTAGGGACATTTAGGTTGATTCCGTATTTTGGCTATTGTGAATCATGCCGCGATGAACGTGGGAGTGCCAATATCCTTCAGAATGCCGACTGCATTTCCCTTGGATATACACCCAGAAGTAAGCTTGCTGAACCATATGGTAGCTCTGTTTTTAGTTTTTTGAGGCACTTCCAAACGGCTGTACTAATTTACATTCCCACCAACTGTGTACCAGTGTTCCCATTTCTCCACATCCTCACCAACACTTGTCTTTCGTTTTTTGCTTATTTATTTGTGTTTGAGCCAAGGTTTTGTTCTGTTGCCCAGGCTGGAGTGCAGTGTTGTGATCAGAGCTCACTGTAGCTTCAAACCTCGATTCAAGCAATTGTCCCTCAGCCTTCCAAGTAGCTGAGACTACAGGCATGCACCACCACACCCAACTAATTATTTTTATTTTTTGTAGAGAAGAGGGCTCGATTTTTTGCCAGGCTGGTCTGGTATGCCCTGCTTCAAGTGATCTTCTTGTTTTGGTCTCCCAAAGTGCTAGGATTAAATGTATGAGCCACCACACCTGGCCTTGTCTTTTTTTTTTTTTTTTT